AGCCTTGCTTTGTTGGGATTATTGGTTTTTCCATTAGATGAGAGGCACATTAGCACCCGTCTGTAGTCAGTGGTAATGGCACTATTTCATGAGAAGCAACGCAAAACCGTTACCATTGGGCCGATGATCTTAGCAGAGTTGTACCGAGCCCTGAGTGAGGTTAGGGGAGCTGTCAGATATTTTGAGGGAAGTAACCTTTTGCTACAGTTGTGGATGATGGAGCATTTGCACACCGCTTCCTTACTTTGTCCCATCGACCGTGCCTTGAGGGATCGGGTGGTATGCATCGAACGTAGGATGAAATCTCCTAAGTTTACGTACCCAGTAGGCGTCACGGCTTGGATTGAGTTCCTTGGTTTGAGGACAAATGGGAATGTTTTGTGGGCTTACCTTTGGCTACCTTTGGATGATATCTTGGTAGGGTGCCTCATGCAGCCTTTCCTGATGCTGATAGGACTCAAGTATGTCAGGCCGTACACTCCCGTTAGGGTAATGCGACAATTGGGCAGAAGACAAGAGGAGCCTCCAACTTTGAATCTTCGGAGCCACATCATAAATTTCAGCAAAAAGGCGGCTGATGAAATCAGGTATGTGCAATACTGGAACAATGCAAAGAGGATGAAAAACAATACATTAGTAGAGGACGTTGGCAGGCCCGAGTGTACTCAGGAGTACTTGATTTGGTTACAGTCCATCCCGCCAGGGGTCAGCACCCCATTGCCAGCACACTTAGGGGTCGGGCAGTTCAGACAGATGATTTTGAGGAGGCATCAGACCAAGATCCATGGGATAAGCTTGAGTTGATAAAGTCTCAGTTAGCGGGATTGGCAGCAAACATGGAGCAGCACGGCCAGTATTTGTTTAGGGTCGGCCTTCAGGATGCGGGGGCACAGGCCAGGGCCTTTATTCCCAGCATCAGTGTTTCTTTACGAGGCATGTTATAGAGTTTGAGTATGACGGACAGCCCAGGACCATCCCGGTCAGGACAGTCGCATTCAGGAGCAGCTTGAGGAGTCATTCTATTTAGGTGTTTTGAGATTGTCTTATGTTATCTTTTACTTTCGTGTCTTGTCTAGAAGTGTCGAGTCCTTTAGGTAGTGTCAGAGTCTGTCGTAGTGTAGTTGAGTTTGTCATGTCTTTCATTATCGTATTTCCCTTTGTATTTTAATATCGAAAAGTTTTAAATGAAAAATCCCAAAAAGATTTTGTTTTCAGTTTATTTTCCACCACTTCTCCAGAACTACGCTTGGTCTGATTCATGAGGGACATGATACGTAGGCAACCTACATCGAGTTCGATCAAATCATTTTTGGTTCAAAATAAAAAGAGAAAGAAAAAGAAAAGAGTGATAAGAGGAGTTGGAAAAGAAAGAGAAGGAAGGATTGAAATGAGCAAATCGGGATGATGCCATATGACCCTGCGACCCTCAAAGCCATTTTAGAACCATTAATTGTTGCTAGGTGCATTGCATGTAATGTGATATTATTGTTTGATAAATGCTCTAATGCTAACATGGTGGTTTTGTGTTGTTGTCCTCTGTTATCTCTATTAAGTTTCAGGAAGGTGGTTTTGTTGGTAACCTGGCAAGTCATCCATACAACACCCGATCAAAGCGTCAAATAGTCATGGCTAGCAAGGAAACAGACACTGGAGTTGTAGACCCACCAAGGGAGATTGTTGAGTCGGAATTGGAACTGCAAGAGGAGGTCCAGAGGTTGAAGCATTAGATGGCAGAAATGTATCAAGCCTGGATTAAGGGACACCCTCCACCCTCGTTCCCTACCAACTACACAGAAAACCCTGCTTCCATTCCACCACTCTCTCAACCCCAGATGCCCAATACCATTGATCTTTTCCCACAACACGCACCTGGCTTTACCCCTTACCATAACTACCCCGGTACTTTAGCCCAAACTGTTCATGCTCCGCCAGCCAAAACAACCTCATACCCTGCTCCGACATCTGCTCCTATTTTTGTACCCCCTCCACAAGCTACCCTACTACTATGCACCGGAGCCCACTTTCAAAGTCCCAGATCCTTACTCTTACACTCCCCAATTTGAGCCTCATGTTGAAACTGACAAACCACCCAAGACGTAGAGCAAGAAGAGATGTTTAGGAAGGTATAGAGTCTGAAGCAATCATTGAGAAATATGCAAGGGTTGGGAAACCAAGTGAGTGTGGCCTATAAGGATTTGTGTTTGTTCCCCGATGTCCAATTGCTTGCCGGGTTCAAGATGCCCAAGTTTGACTTGTATGACGGACATGGGGATTCTATAGCTCATCTGAGAGGTTATTGTAGTAAAATGAGAGGCGCTGGGGGAAAGGACGAATTACTGATGGCATACTTCAGCCAAAGTCTGAGTGGGGCAGCTTTAGAATGGTACACCCGCCAGGACACCAGCAGGTGGTACACCTGGGACGATATGGCTCAGGCCTTTGCCCGGCACTTTCAGTACAATATAGACATTGTTCCAGACCGCCTATCTCTGACCAAGTTGGAAAAAAACCAAGTGAAAGCTTTAGAGAATATGGGTTCCGATGGAGGGAGCAAGCTGCACGAGTCAGTCCTCCGATGGAAGAGGACGAGATGGTTAAATAATTTCTTCAAGCCCTGGAGCCCACTTACTATGGCCACTTGATCTCAGCCATTGGTAAGTCTTTCAATGATGTAGTGAAGATGGGAGAAATGGTGGAAGAGGGGCTCAAGTCGAGTAAGATCATGAGCTATTCTGCTATAAAAGCAACCACCCAGGCAATCCAGAGTGGTACCGGAGGTTTGCTAGGCAAAAAGAAGAAGGAAGATATCGCTATGGTTGTCTCCGAGTCATGGCATGGCCAGAGGGGTTCACCTCATCAATACACCCATCCTCGACCCCGACCTCAAGCCTACGCCCAAGCTCCATATAATCCACCTCAACATTACTTTTCCCCACAAAACCCCTAATACTCAGCCAGGCCATCCCAATACCTTGTTCACCATGCACAGTCATATGCTCAACCCCCTCCTTACCCGCAATGGCGTGCTCCAGCTCCGCAGAATATCTACCCAGCTCCACAAAATACCTATCCACCCCCACAACCCTATCAAAACCCCACTGGTTCAAATTTTCGATCAAGGCCAGAGTATAGGAGAGAGAGGCAGCAGCGGAAACAAACTTTTACCCCGCTTGGAGAGTCCTATGCTAGTCTGTTTCAATGGTTAAGGCAGTTGGACGTCTTGAGGCCGATTGAGTCAAAGATACCAAATCCCCCTCCAAAGAACCTCGATTATTTCCTAAAATGCGCATATTGTTCTGATGCTCCAGGGCATGACATAGAGAAGTGTTGGCGTTTGAAAACGGAAATCCAGGAGCTTATTGATACCAACCAAATTGTAGTCCAAAGCCCAGACATGCCGAACATCAACCAAAACCCTTTGTCAGCCCATGCAGAGACGCATATGATTGAAATAGTTCACAAGGACGGGGAGCCCAGGAAGTCTTCTAAGTCCGTCATGATGATTTGGGCCAGTGAAAGTAATTCAGTTAAAGCTCCTGACTCTACCAAAGCGAAGCCCTTGATAGTTGAAGGGGTGACAGAAAAGCCAAGCTCGCTCAATTTGAAACCACCAGTGTTGGTCGTGAAAGGGTTGTCAAAAGATGTTAGGGCAAGTCCGGAAAGTTCAAAAGTGGTAGTACCATGGATTCGAAGTAAGCCTGTCATAGTTATGAAGGGGGCTCCTGCTACCCCTATCATCATTAAACTAGTAGGCCAGCTTCCAGTGGTGGATGCCAAGGCTATTCCATGGAATTATAAACAAGTGATAGTGACATACAAAGGAAAAGAAATAGATGAAGAAGTTAATGAAACTGGAGGATTGACTCGTTCTGGGAGATGTTTCACCCCAGAAGAATTAAGGAAAGCCAAGCCATTCAAGGATAGCCAAATGCCAGTAAAGAAATCGGTCACCGAGGAAGAGGCTGAGGAGTTCCTAAAAAAATGAAAGTGCAGGATTATTCCATTGTGGAGCAGTTAAGGAAAACACCAGCTCAGATTTCTCTTTTGTCTTTGTTGATATATTCAGATGAACATCACAAGGTCTTGATGAAGATTTTGAATGAGGCACATGTTCCTGATAAGATCACGGTGAACCACTTGGAAAAGATAGATGGCAAGATCTTCAAAGCAAATATGATCTCTTTCTCGGACGATGAACTTCCTATGGAGGGTACAGAACACAACCGAGCTCTTTATCTCATGGTGAAGTGCGAAGATTCTGTTGTCTCAAGGGTTTTTGTTGATAATGGCTCTAGTGCAAATATTTGTCCCTTGTCTACCCTGCAAAAACTGAATATTGGCACCAAAAGAATCCACTTGAACAGTGTATGTGTCCGAGGCTTTGATGGGGGAGGTAAAGATTCTGTTGGAGATATAATGCTCGAATTGTCGATAGGGCCAGTTGAGTTTACCATGGAATTCCAAGTGTTAGATGTGGCTGTCTCCCACAATCTGTTATTGGGCAGGCCCTGGATACATGCTGCTAAAGTAGTTCCGTCTTCTCTGCATCAAATGGTGAAGTTCGAATGGGACAGGCAGGAAATAGTTGTACACGGTGATGAGGACTTGTTAGCTTGTAATGACACAATTGTTCCGTTCATCGAAGCTGAAGATGATAAAGGACCTTAGGTCTATCAGACTTTCGAAACAGTGTCTGTTGAGAAAATTCCTGAAGGAAAATGCATTTCGGGTCCTAAGCTATCCTCCGTGTCCGTTAAGGTTGCGAATGAAATGTTGAAGAATGGTTTTGTGCCGGGCAAGGGTTTGGGCTCATCTCTGTAGGGTATTGTGTATCCAGTGCACCACAGTGGGAATCCTGGTACATTTGGTTTGGGATTCATGTCCACAGAGAAGGACGTGAAAAGGGTTAAAAATCTGAAATAGAAGGTATGGTCGCTCTCCAAGCCCGCCCCACACATCTCTAAGTCTTTTGTCAAGCCAGGGACCGAAAAACCTCCAACCTCCTCAATCTCAAAACCTGTGGTCGATGTTTATGAAGAGCTGATCAAGAGGTTCTAAAGTCTGTTCGAAGAGGTCAATATGGTAGAAGTTGGTGAAAGCTCTAGTAAAGTAGATGTGCAGCTCGTTGGCCCAAACGTGAAGCTTAGCAATTGGGAAGCTACTCCTCTCCCCACCAGGAAGGAGTTTTGGAGTTTGCTTTGTTTTCCTTTCTGTTATCTAGGTTATTCCAGGGTTGTAATCCAGATTTTTAGTTTTTGCTTGTTTTGATGTTCAAACCCTTCTATCCTTTTATTTTCAATGAAATGCAATTTTTCGTTTTCCGTTATTCTTAATAGTGTTTTGTTTTGTTGTTTTTCTTTTGTACAGTTCTTTTTATGCTGGTTGCAGTGACATGACATGCATGAAGAGTTTTCAGCCGAGTCTTAAAATCTAATCTAATTCTGAAATAACAATCCAAGAAGTAGAATATGATGATGAAATAGAATATGTTGAATAAGCAACATTTGAGGAAATTAGTAAAGAGCTAAAACAATTTGAAGAAAAACAAAAGCCTAATTTGAGTGAGACCGAAGCAATCAATTTAGGGGACCAGGATGATGTTAGGGAAACCAAGATAAGTGTGTATTTAGAACCGCAAGTTAAGGAGGAAATAATCAAAACATTGTTTGAGTACAAAGATGTCTTTGCATGGTCATATGATGATATGCCAGGCCTGAGCACTGATCTGGTAGTTCATAAATTGCCAACTGATCCAACATTCCCTCCTGTCAAGCAAAAGTTACGAAAGTTTAAGACTGATATGAGTGTGAAGATCAAAGAAGAAATCACAAAGCAGCTTACTGCAAAGGTCACTCGAGTCACTCGATATCCCACTTGGTTAGCCAATGTTGTGCCAGTACCAATGAAGGATGGTAAGACCAGGGTCTATATTGATTACCGTGATCTTAACAAAGCAAGCCCAAAGGATGATTTTCCATTGCCGAACATTCACATTCTGATCGATAATTGTGCCAAGCAAGAGATTGGGTCTTTTGTGGACTGTTACGCGAGATATCACCAGATCTTGATGGATGAGGAAGATGCAGAAAAGACAGCATTCATCACGCCATGAGGAACATACTGTTATCGGGTAATGCCATTTGGTTTGAAGAATGCTGGGGCAACTTACATGAGGGCGATGACCACCATATTTCATGACATGATACATAGGGAGATTGAGGTTTATGTAGATGATGTGATCATAAAGTCAAAGAAGCAGTTTGACCATGTTAAGGACTCGAGGAAGTTTTTCCAAAGGCTCCGCAGGTACAACCTCAAGCTCAATCCAGCGAAATGTGCATTTGGGGTCCCGTTTGGGAAACTGCTAGGATTCATGGTCAGTCGACGCGGTATTGAGTTAGACCGTCGAAGATGAAAGCCATTCAAGAGTTACCGCCGCCAAAGAACAAAACAGAGGTAATGAGCCTACTTGGAAGGTTAAATTACATCAACAGGTTTATTGCTCAACTCACAACAACCTGTGAGCCCATCCTTAAGCTGCTGAAGAAGAATGTTGCAGTCAAGTGGACTGATGAGTGTCAAGACGCATTTGATAAGATCAAGAGGTACTTGTCGAATCCACCTGTGCTGGTCCCACCAGAGCCTGGAAGACCTTTAATTCTTTATTTGACAGTCTTGGATAATTCTTTTGGCTGTGTATTGGGTCAACATGATGTCACGGGAAAGAAGGAGCAAGAAATCTATTATCTCAGTAAGAAGTTCACTCCCTATGAGGTTAAGTACACTCTGCTTGAGAGGACATGTTGCACCCTAACTTGGGTGGCACAAAAGTTGAAGCATTATCTGTCATCCTACACTACTTACCTCATTTCCCGCATGGATCCTCTAAAGTATATCTTTCAGAAGCCTATGCCCACGGGAAGACTGGCAAAGTGGCAGATTTTACTTACAGAGTTTGACATCATCTATGTGACTCGGACCACGATGAAAGCCCAAGCCTTGGCTGACCACTTGGCCGAGAATTCGGTAGATGATGAATATGAGCCATTGTAGACTTATTTTCCTGATAAAGAGGTCGTGTGTGTTGACAAGGTTGACCATAATGAAAAGCCAGGTTGGAAACTCTTCTTTGATGGAGCTGCTAACATGAAAGAGGTCGGAATAAGGGCTGCACTTATCTCTGAAATAGGGCAACACTACCCTGTAACAGCCCAGCTTCGATTTTATTGCACCAACAACATGGCTGAGTATGAAGCATGCATTCTGGTTTTGAGGTTAGCTATAGACATGGGAGTCCAGGAAATACTTGTTCTGGGAGATTCAGATTTGTTGGTTCACCAGATTCAAGGAGGATGGGAGACTCGAGATTTGAAGCTCATACTGTACCGACAGTGCCTGCATGATCTTTGTCAACGATTCAGGTCGGTTGAATTTAGACATATTCCCGGGATTCATAATGAGATTGCTGATGCCTTGGCTACTCTAGCGTCAATGTTACATCATCCGGACAAGGCTTATGTTGACCCCGTGCATATCCAAGTTCATGATCAACATGCTTATTGTAATGTGGTGGAAGAGGAAATCGATGGCGAACCTTGGTTCCACGATATCAATGAATACATCAGGTCGGGGGTATATCCAGTACATGCTACAGGTGACCAAAAGAGAACCATTCGACATCTGGCTAGTGGATATTTCTTGAGTGGAGGAATCTTGTACAAGAGGACTCCGGATTTAGGACTGATGAGGTGCATAGATGCTAAAGAAGCTTCAACTATCATGGCCGAAGTGCATTCTGGAGTTTGCGGGCCGCATATGAACGGGTATGTCTTGGCAAAGAAGATACTTCGAGCAGGTTATTATTGGCTCACCATGGAACGTGATTGTATCAGTTTTGTTCGCAAGTGTCATCAATGCCAGGTACACGGTGATATGATTCATTCTCCCCCATCTGAGTTACACACAATGTCTGCACCTTGGCCTTTTGTTTCTTGGGGCATGGATGTTATTGGACCAATTGAGCCGGCAGCGTCAAACGGGCATAGGTTTATTCTACTAGCCATTGATTACTTTACCAAGTGGGTCAAATCTATAACTTTTAAGTCCATGACCAAGAAGGCAGTAGTGGATTTTGTTCATTCAAATATCATTTGTTGGTTCGGAATTCCCAAGGTGATTATCACAGACAATGCTGCTAATCTCAATAGTCATTTGATGAAAGAGGTATGCCAACAGTTCAAGATCATACATCAGAACTCCACCCCGTATCACCCCAAGGCAAATGGAGTTGTTGAGGCTGCTAACAAGAACATAAAGAAGATACTTCGTAAGATGGTTCAAGGTTCTAGGCAGTGGCATGAAAAGTTGCCTTTTGCCTTACTGGGTTATCGCACTACTGTTCGCACTTCAGTAGGTGCAACTCCTTATCTGCTGGTATATGGAACTGAGGCTGTTATACCTGCAGAAGTTGAGATTCCATCCCTTCGGATCATTGCAGAAGCTGAAATTGATGATGATGAGTGGGTCAAAACTCGGCTAGAGCAGTTGAGTTTGATTGATGAGAAAAGATTGGTTGCAGTATGTCATGGTCAATTGTATAAGAAGAGAATGGCAAGAGCTTACAACAAAAAGGTGCGTCCTCGAAAATTTGAAGTGGGCCAGATGGTATTGAAACGCATCCTTCCTCATCAGGTGGAAGCCAAAGGCAAGTTCGCCCCAAACTGGCAAGGGCCATTCGTTATGACAAGAGTGTTGCCCAACAGTGCTTTGTATTTAACAGACATAGAAGGTAAATATGTAGATATGGCTATCAATTCTGATACAGTTAAGAGGTACTATGTATGATTTCTTTGCTTACCTTCAGTTGTATATTGTACTTGGCATATTGAAAGTTGAAATGACGAAGGCATTTTGTTCCGCTACCCAGACACTTTTATCCTTTGTTACCCCTTTTGAGCTTTATTTATTTTCTTTCATACCCCTCTTTTGGAATTAGTAGTAGAAGTAGAAGAAAAATGATGATGAATGAGTGAAAATAAGAAAAACGAAAAAGAAAGGAAAAAGAAAAGGAAAAAAAAGGAAGAAAAGAAGGAAAAGAAAAAAAAGAAAGAAGAAAAGAAAAAGGGAAACAAAAACAAACAACTTTCTTTTGAACTACGTTCGACCTGATTCCTTTTAAGGATACGTAGGCAGCCTCACGGTTCGGTCCCATCAAAATAAAAATTAAAATTCCCCAGACCCAAAGAATCTGGGGCAGAAGTTTGGGTTTTGAAAAGATCTGATTCCAAAAGTTGTAATTTTAACCCCTTTTCATCTTAGATTATTTTGAGCCTTCATGCCACCCTTTCTTTCTAACCCTGTCCAAAAGCCTACATTACGGTCCAAAGAAAGACTTTCTGATCAATCTTTGAAGATGCCAGGTCAAGCGAGACAGAGGTATGATTTACATCATGGGTAACACTTTGATCATGGGCACAAAGGAAAATTGAATAAATGAGAGAGTCTTATTGGTGAAAACCTTCACGGGCACCGTAAGGTGATGGTGAGCTGAGAGAAAATTTAAAATGAGAGAGTCTTATTGGTGAAAACCCTCGCGGGCACCATAAGNAAGGGAAACAAAAACAAACAACTTTCTTTTGAACTACGTTCGACCTGATTCCTTTTAAGGA